CCAATCTGGAGCTGGTGCCGGAAAAGGTGATCTTCGGCGCCCAAATCAATTACAACTTGATCGACCCTCTACCTTTGAATCGGCGTCGGTTGCTGGCCCAACGTTACGTGCTCAAGTGGGTCTCGGACTGCTACGACTGGAACCTGGAATTCCGCGAGCACCAATACCGGGATGCCGACTCCAAGGACAGCGAGATTCGCTTCTCCCTATCGCTCAAGAACGTAGGAACCTTCCTCGATTTGAACGAATCCCTCAACTAGGGAAGCTCACACAATTCTCATCTGACGAATCCTAATGACAGTGCCGGCGGCGCAAGCGAGCCGGCTATGGAAATACAGATATGAAGGGTTTAATTCTCTCCGGCGGCAAAGGGACTCGTTTGCGTCCCCTGACCTACACCTCCGCCAAACAATTGGTGCCGGTGGCCAACAAACCGGTGCTCTTCTTCGGCATCGAGTCGATTGTCGCCGCCGGCATTACCGACATCGGGATCATCGTCGGTGATACCAAAGACGAGATTCGGGAAGCGGTCGGCGACGGCTCCCAATTCGGCGCCACTGTGACTTACATCGAGCAAGACGCACCGCGCGGACTGGCTCACGCGGTAATGATTGCCGAGGATTTCATTGGTGACGATTCCTTCGTCATGTATTTGGGGGACAATCTCATTGCCGGTGGCATCGCCAGCCTGGTCGAGGAATTCCAGGATCTCAAGTGCAATGCCCAAATCCTGTTGGCCGAGGTTCCCAATCCCCAGCAATTCGGTGTCGCCGAGCTGACCGCCGACGGCGAGACCATTGAGCGTCTCACCGAAAAGCCGAAGGAGCCCAAGAGCAATTTGGCTTTGGTCGGTGTCTACATGTTCGACAAGAACATCTTCGACTCGGTGAAGAACATCAAGCCTTCCGCCCGGGGCGAGCTCGAAATTACCGACGCGATCCAAGATCTGATCGATCGCGATTTGAGTGTGCATCCCCACAAAGTGCGCGGATGGTGGAAGGACACCGGCAAGCTCGAAGACATGCTCGAGGCCAATCGCATCGTGCTCGAAAGCTACGACCTCAAGCGGCAGCACGGCCAACACGGCGACGGCACCATCTTGGAGGGCCGCATCGGTCTCGGCAAAGACGTGCAGCTGATCAATTCCGTCGTCCGCGGCCCGGCGGTCATCGGTGACGGGGCCCGCATTGAGAACGCTTTCGTCGGCCCCTACTCCGCCATCGGTGACGGCTGTGTGATCGCCGACAGCGAGATCGAGAACTCGATCGTGCTCTCCAATAGCGAGATCCGAGACATTCCCGTGCGCATCGACGGCTCCCTTGTGGGCAAGAACGCCCGAATCGTGAAATCTCCCGCCAAACCCAAGGCCTACCGCTTTATGTTGGGTGACAACTCAGAGGT